GATTATATGTAAGATTTACTATTTTAAAAGTACAAAACGAAATTTCACCAGATGGATAAAAGGGCTATTACTTACCTAACAGTACCTACTCGTAGTGATAATTATGGATGTTTGGTGCAGTGGTAGGGTTCTATTATCTCTATAAACAGTATTTTTGTCTCACGGCTAAGCCTCTGCACTAGGTCCTAAAGTAAGCAGATTAAGAACAGGTGTGCTGTTTGACCAAGTTTCAGAAAACTGTTGACACTATTAAGATTAGACTAGGGTAAAAAACCACCTTTGGATTTAACAAACTTGGATGACCCTTCTAGCCTAATGCTATGAAAAACATAGGTGTAAAACTCAGCATTCTTTCTTCAGAACTGGGATTTTCCTTAAGTCTCAGTGGCATAATTTTCAAGGTGGTTAGACTAAACTGTGTAACATGAAGGGGGCCGGCTTGTTTATGTTTTTTCTGTCCCGCCCAGTACCCCAGCTGTTTAGTCCCAGAGAAAAATCACACTGAGATCTCTATAAGTTATAAAGCTGATTGGTCCATTAGGTCAGGCTACTTATTAGCTAACTCTCACATCTTGATTAACCCATTTTTCTGATCTATGTTAGCCATGTGGTTCAGTACCTTTTTCAGTGGGGCAGCTCACATCCTGTTGCTTCGGTATTCTGGGCAGGAGTGGGAGGAATCAACTTCCTCCTCCCCAGAATTCTCCTGCTCTCCTTGCATCATTTCCACTTCCTGTCTGGTTTTCCCACCTACACCTCCTGCCTGGTCAATCAGCATTTATTTAAAACATGATTGACAGATTACAGACAATTCTCCCGCACCACTTCCCCCTCTTAAAAAAAAAAGGAAAATATCCATAGTCCATTTTTTGGGAATGTGGGCATAGTGTAGTATTCAGGCTACTTTCAGTTGGTTGGGGGCGCTGATAATCTTATGGGGACCTAAAGAAAATTTAGAGTTATGATCAAGTCCTGACTGAAGTATCCTGTGAGTCTTGATCATCTCAGGCAGCAGTCTTGAACCTGTTTTGGATGAAAAACTCTGATATTGGGCCATCTGTTTCTACCGACGATTGCTCGGGTGTTCTCCCTTGGTCAAAGATGATTTTTGGACTATGGATATTTTCCTTTGTTTTTTTTTTTTTTAAGACGGGGAAGTGGTGTGGGAGAATAGTCTATATTCTATCAATCATCTTTTAAATAAATGCTGATTGGCCAGGCAGGAGGTGTAGGTGGGAAAACCAGACAGGAAGTGGAAATGATGCAAGGAGAGCAGGAGAATTCTGGGGAGGAGGAAGTTGATTCCTCCCACTCCTGCCCAGAACACCGAAGCAGCAGGATGTGAGCTGCCCCACTGAAAAAGGTACTGAGCCACATGGCTAACATAGATCAGAAAAATGGGTTAATCAAGATGTGAGAGTTAGCCAGTAAGAGGCTAGACCTAATTGGCCAATCAGCTTTATAACTTATAGAGATCTCAGTGTGATTTTTCTCTGGGACTAAACAGCTGGGGGGCCGGGCAGGACAGAAACATAAACAAGCAGGCCCTTCATGTTACAAAACTGATTGGATGCCCACTCCGTCTGAGAGCAGTTGCTGCTCCATGTGACCTTGCACAAGAGGCTGAAACATTTAAGTAGGGTCAACCTACTACAGAGGATGAATCCATAATGTAACAGCTTCATTAGAACAAAGAGGGGATGGGGGAAGGCTATGCAATTATAGAAAAGAGAATGAGGAAGTACTGTGCTGTTTCTGAACACAACACCAAGGCCAAGCTTCAAGTGTCTTCTTCTTAAGGCCATCACTCTCCTACCAGTGGATGAGATCTGCTTGAGGACTCTTTGTTGATGCTGCACTCGTGTAAGCCGGAAGAGCCAAGCACAGTTAGCCAGCAAGAGTTCTGGACATGGAGCTTTATATGAATGGCAGCAGCTTCATGGAAGAAGGCCGGAGATGGCTTAAATGATGGGATTTGAATTTATTTGTTTTGGTCCACATACAGGGCTTTTTCTTTTAGGTCACCAACCAGCTTCTAAATCATGACATGGAGACTTCCATGAATGCTCAGCCTAGTTTAGGTTAGTTTCTGGCTAACTCTTTTTAACTTAACCTGTTTCTCTTTAACTACCTTTTGCCTTGGACTTTTTACTTTTCCTTTTCTCTGTATATATTACTTTCATTGCTTCTCCTGTCGGGATGGCTGGTGACTGACTGGCTTCTTGCCCCAGGCAGGCCCCCATCTTTCACTTTATTCTCTTCTTTTCTTTCTTCTCTGGAGCCTGGATTCCTCCTATTTATTCTTTCTGCCTGCCAGCCCCATCTAGCCTTTCTCTGTCTAGTATTGGCTATTAGTTCTTTATTAAACCAATCAGGTACCTCGGGCAGGCAAGGTGAAACACACGCAGTACATCTTTACATAATTAAACACACATTTTTACATTGTTAAAAACGCAGCATCAACAAACATAACACAGTTAAAAGTAATCTTCTGCATCATGAGCAAATGTAACACATCTTTACATAGTTAAAATAATTTTCTACAATAGGTCCGTGTCCTAAGACCTTTACATTGGGGTTGATCAATCTTGAAGAAATCCAGTAATGTCCTTTCCTTTTTACACTCTGAATGGGATCCAAAGCGACTACCATAGCTCTCTTTCTCTCTGACAAGGCCTGAAAACTCTGCTGAGTGTTGATATCCAAATCAGAAGGCCATCAGAGTCAGGGTGACTGTGATACCAACGAAAACTACCATAGGTCTTCCTGTGTGTTTTAGCTCATCTAACATTTTGGCTTGGAAGGTTGAATCAACTTCTGGCTCTGAGAACACCCAATGAATCAACCAATTTCATTCAAAGTAGCTGCCTAGGTCTCTGCCAAGAAGTACTTTTACCAATGATATTTTATATTAAAATCCCAAGAAATGATAAAAGTTAATGAAATCAATACATTTTATCAAGTTGTCAGAAAATAGTAGATAACAAGTAGGATTTTAAAATGAGAGGATAGGTTAATCTTAGAACGATTATTATTACAATTCATCATATTAGTAGGTGAAGTAAAGTAACCACATGATTAATTATCATGTGTTAAATAATAAATTTCATCAGATCTGCACCCTTATTTTAGTGCCATTTATAAAGAAATTTGTTGAATTTTTTTAAACCTTATACATTTTTAAGTTAGTAGTGAGTACCTGAATTTGTAGGATATTTGGGAGACTATTATAGAAATAGTCATATAAATGTAATAGTGTATAACTCTACTCTTATTGTGAAGGAATGAATGAATTGTGGTTTGTCTCTAAGAGGAAAAAAAAAAACACATCCCATACAGTAAATACGTCCTTACCATTCACTGAATTTTCTTAATGTCTGTCCTAATGTTTTCCTTTTAATCTCTGATTTTTGCTACTTTGGGTCTTTATTTCTTTCAGACAGTTTGGCTTAAAGTTTGTGAATCCTGCTAATCTCTTCAAAGCGGCGTATCTCTCGCCTTCTTCCGTGAAGCTTCCGTCACTCATAGAAAGCTCCACAGTCCAACCCTGTGACATTCTGCCTCTTTCATGTGGGGTTTGTGGCGAAGCCTCTTTTCTTTCTGCACAAAATAATTTCAGTTATTGCTCCCTTTTCATGGTCAGACTCCGTAAAGTTTGTAAATTTCTTTCTCTTTTTGAACAACAAGCTTTTGGCGTTCTTGAGTCTTTGTATTGTCTTTCTGTTCTGCTTCATTACTTTGTATTTGCATCACTGTTACTTCCTTCCTCCCATAAGATTTACATTTAATTTTCTCATATTTGAGTACCTAATTTAGAAGTCCAGCTCATAGATTTCAGAACTTCATTCTTCCTCACTCTGGGCCTGTATAGCTCTAGGTCTCCTTGGAGGTATGTTTTAGCTGCATGCCGACAGATGCTTCATTTTGCCATTCATTTCACAGTACTTCATGATTGAAATTCTGATTATTCTTTAATTCATGCAATATTTAACAGACAATAAAATAGTAGTAAGAACCATGAATTACTGTTTTCCAGAATTTCCATACCTGACGGCACCTCATCTACACTTTGGAAACACACCAACCACCAGAACACGCGTGCCAGTCTTCAGTCCACAGCAGTGTTTGTGGGATGCTGCATCTATCCGTTTCAATAATTACCTAGAAAATCCTACTATATATTTAGTTTGTAAAGCTATTCAGGATATGAAGCCTTATTGAATTCAAATTTTGCTCTCCCTTTTCCTGCTTTGTTCTCTAGCTTGAAAAACAATGTTCGCATCCCTTATCTATGTTAGGATCAGTATTTGTACACACTGACTTCTCTCCTCACATTTCTAGGTAGAGGAGATCAAACTGTCCCCACATCTCCTGCTGAGGGATGCTCTATAGATACTAATCTATTATCTGTATTGAGAAGCGCTTGGTAGGTGCCTCTCATGACCTATTTTTACAGCCTCTGGGGAACAAACAGCGTACTTCTGTACCTTCCCTGCCCCAGGCCTCCATTTGCCCTTATCAAGTTCCTGACTCAAGGATCAAGAAGCAAGAGTGCTTGAAGCTGAAGCAGAAGAAGAGTGAACAAGAGAGTCAATCTCCAGAGGTTTGTCCCTACATCCCCCACCTTTCTGCGTAAGGTAGGTGGAGGTGTGGCACCAGGAAGATGGCCACAAAGCCAGCGTTGCGGTCAGTATTGATGTAGAGAAAGATAGCCCTAGCAAACAACACTGCTGTTACTATTCAGAGAAAGCTAGCCCCAGTGCCCAGCATTGCTGTGAGTAGTGCCAGGGGCAGGCCACAGTGTACATTGCTTGCAGAATTGCTTGTGGGAGGAGACAGGCTCCCTGTACAGCCTTGATGTCAGCACTGGTTCAGATACTCCTCTCTGAAATAACTGTTCTAAGTGTCTACACAAAACCCAGTTTCAAATGACCCTATCTTCTTTTAATGCAGCCAGGCATTAAAACATTCTGAACGATTTCTCCTGCAGGTTAGGTCAAATGGAGTTATTTTCCCTATGGACCAAAGCTGTGTTCATCAACTTGGCCTTTGCTCTTTATTCTGGTAAGCTTTCAGTCTGGGCTAGAATGCTGTGCCAAGACAGGAGTAGAACGGTGGTTCTATTGCCTTTTCAATTCTTAAATTGGTGAGTGCAAAAAAGCAGGTTATAAATTCCTCCTCAGCTGAGAAGGAGATGGAATGTTGGTTTGCTGTATACAGTAGAATTTAGTATGTTGCACATTGCCGAATTTGGGAATTTTGACTAGTTTTACAGTCGATATTTAGGGGAAACCTTATAATTTGGCTGTTAAATGCGAAGTGCAGGGAAGGAATCCTCTTTTCTAAGTCTGGTATACTTTGGCCTTCTGAATTGTTACTTTTAACTCCCAACCCTGATACCAAAGTATGCATAAGAAAAGAGCTCTTGGCATCTCAGGTGGTACTGCCCTCTCGGTTATTAACATTGCATAATGGTGTAGGAGTTACGTATTGACAAATATCCTGATAACAGAACTCAGAGTTCGAAAGCCACTTTTTGCACAACTTCTTCTTCTGTCCTAATTAGATGTATCTGGTGTAAATCTTTTCAAAGTCTGCATCATCACAATTATTGAAGACTCCATTAGAAGTTATTGAAAACAGGCTGGGTGGTGGTGGAGCACAGCTTTAATCCCAGCATTTGAGAGACAGAGACAGGCAGGTCTCTGACCAACCTGGTCTACAAGAGCTAGTTCCAGGACAGCTAGGACTGCAGCACAGAAAAACCCTAGGTTGGAAAAAAAAAGTTATTCATCAATGTGGCTATAGGATAGGGCCAGTTCAGGCGCCCTCTCCTCAGCTGCCCAAGGAACAAGCTAGGGACATCTCCTTGGACACCTGGGAACCCCTCTAGAGTCAAGTTTCTTGCCAACCCAAAATGGCTCCCTTAATTAAGATATATACTTCCCTGCTCCCATATCCACCCTTCCTCCATCCCAACCATCCCCCAGCTGGACTGGGACTGATGGAGCATGTGATCAAACAGGAGTCTCTGAATGTGGCTGACAAGGAGGGCTGACTGAGAAGCCAAGGACAATGGCACTGGGTTTTGATTCTACAGCATGTACTGGCTTTGTGGGAGACTAGTCTGTTTGGATGCTCACCTTCCTAGACCTGGATAGAAGGGGGGAGGACCTTGGACTTCCCACAGGGCAGGGAACCCTGACTGCTCTTTGGACTGGAGAGGGAGGGGGCGGGGAAGTGGGGGTAGAGGGATGGAAATGGGAGGAGGGGAGGAGGTGGAAATTTTTTAAAAAAAAGTTATTGAAAACATGCAAATTTTTCACAGAGCTACATTTGCCTGGCTACTAACCAATTTTATTAAGTATGTAGATATGATTGATAATTTTTATTTTGGTTACTAGCATAAAATTCTCGTCTCATTGGGTCTCCTTGAGTAGCTCACTGAGGCACGTTTCTGCCACCATTGTATCTGCGAGCTGCTCATTTTTTAACCGTCTTTGTTGTTGCAGAATCTGCTCTCATCAAATATCCAACACACAAAATGAAAGTAAGTTACTAGTGTTTCATTTGATATTTGAAATATAATTTTAAATGTTTGTCAAGTTTTAGAATCTCGATAAGGCTGCCTAAAGTATACAAGAACTCAACAAGTTAAAAAAAATCTGTGTTTATGTATTTTTATACCAAAGCCAAGTAATATAATCAAGCAAGCAACATAAAACCACATTGGTATGATCTAGGCATGATCGAAGTGGTAATGTATAGAGGAATATATCCAGGAACGCCATTGGCAATTATTAGCTGCTTTTTAAAATACTGAGATACAAAAGCACACTCAGAATAAAATTATTCATCCTAACAAAGAGATATAAGGTAGCATAGGAATTATCAATTTTTTAAATATTTATTTATTTATTATGTATACAATATTCTTGTCTGTGTGTCTGCCTGCAGGCCAGAAGAGGGCATCAGATCTCATTTCAGATGATTGTGAGCCACCATGTGGTTGCTGGGAATTGAACTCAGGACCTTTGGAAGAGCAGGCGATGCTCTTAACCGCTGAGCCATCTCTCCAGCCCCCGCAAAAAATTATCAATTTTTAAGAGAATAAATAGTAATAACCCTAATATGTGTGTGTTTACACGTATCTGTATATATACTATATCTCATCATGGTAGAAAATGTAAACATATATATTATATATTGTTCTATATCACACTGGTAGCAACACTTCATTAAAAATGTGGAAACAGAGAACACTGAAAAACAACTGTTTGAATAAATATAGAACAGAGATTGGTTCACAAAATACTATCTTCAGGAAGGCGCTTCATTTAAATGGCAATTTCACAATGACAGAGTTTATGACTTAAAGAATATTAGTGAATTTTATTTCTCAAAGGTTTAATGATATCTAACTCTAGTTTTAGTAAAACTTAGTTGGTCATTTTAAAACTTGTCGGAATGTCGAATGAAAAAAAATCAGTTGATATTACTGTTCTTGAGATCTTGACAAAGGATAATATTAGCACGACTGAAGGACTTGTGATAATCGTGTATTTATCTAATATACATATGCCTAAAATATGATTTAAGTAGGTGTCAGTGACATAGAACAGCCACACTATACCTATTGGCTTCTCATTCATGCTTTGTTCTCATCAGAATGAATGGCAGGCTGCAGATTTTCACTATCCTTCTTTACAGATAAATATTTGTAGCCACACATTTGAGAAGTCTTTACTAAGTTTCATAGCTGGTCAGTGGCCAAATTTGTATTGTCCCTGTGCTAAAACTCATTTTAAAATTTTCAGATACAAAAACATACAAAAGGTTTTTCTTTGTATGCGAAACTGATAGGAAATGCATATTTCAAAGTACAAAAATATAGGGCAGAGCCACGCCCCTTTGTTTGCATATTATGTGGAGGTTTTCCTGCATCATGGCAGAGTGGGAAGCAGTGCCAGAGACCACTGGCTCCCAAAGGCTGACCTTCCTACCTGGCTCTTCCCAGAAACATCCAGTTAGCGGCTCTATGGTTCAGATAGTAAGTCCATATGGTTCATCTCAATACCTACAGTATATGACATAAGTAAATATAATTCAAAGCAAAATAAAGAGCAACAGTTAAGGTTTGGCTTTATATATCTCAATAACTTATGGTCATTTACCTATGTCAATTTTTAACTTGTCTGTACTAGTTCATTTCTAGAAATTCAGTAGTCTCTGTTCTCTCAAAGTTGATAACATTGCCAAGAAAACAGAATGTCTTGGATGACTCCTACATAAGTATTGAGACTACTTCATTAGTTACTGGATCGTGGGTGTGTAGGTATTTGATTTTCATCCTAATTATATATTATGCTATCTCTTGTTGAATGTATGATATATTTCATGACTATTATGATCAAGTGTTCACTAGTAAATAATTTTTATTGTCTTTCTCTTACAGATAGACTGTGCGCCATATGCAAATTATATCAACGAATGCACCAAAGAGTATTATCCAATCTGTGCAACTAATGGAAAAACTTATTGCAATAAATGTGTTTTCTGCACTTCACTGAGGTAAAAATGAAACAGGAAACATTTGTTCTTCCGGGCATGAATAAGGCATTACACAACGATATAGATTCTGTTGTTGGTAATCTAGGCACATGTTGTGTATCAAAGATAACTATATTTTTAAAAAGCCACAGAAATGCACTTCTAACTCCTCTAAAGCATATTACTCGTGAACTGTCAACATATCTGCTAAGTGCTCTGCAAGTGGGTGAAATGATTAATTTCACTTAATTTGGTGAAGTGTGAGGTGCTAGTGGTTGAGTCATGGCTATGACGATGTAACTCAGAAGCTGCAATATTAACCGGTGTATCTCTGTGATACCACAAGAATCTGCCTTGCAGCATTCTAGCTACAGGCAACGTCGCTGATTAAAAATCAGATTGAATGCTGACCTTTAAGTTTCACTGTACACAATTAGCCAACTAATGCCATAAAGAAGCTCATGCCATGTCATCTTGGTCTCTTGAAGTTGTCCCTTCAGAGATTTCTGAGAGCCCAGGGCACTTCCAGCTGAACTCCTGTCCCTTTGTCCTTCATCCTGCAAGTGTTTGTTGTCTGAATGTTTGCCAGCTGTCTTTATTCCTCATTTCCTTGTGTGTGTGTTTCTCCTCTTATTGAAATACTCACCCATTTGCTTCCAAAGTCACACGAGCCTCTTGGCAGACCTCGAATTCTCTACAGCTCTCTCTTCATGGATCTGGTGTGACTTTTGACTGAGAGTTGTCAAGTACCTCCACAGGGGGAAAGGGAATATAAAGGAGCTAAGAAGCAAACAGACACAGCTGCTTTTACAATAAATCATAATCTCTCCAACATGTCCCAAGTTCGAATCCTCACTTATAAGTATATAAACTTGTAAATTATCCAAAAAGTGCAATTAATTTTTAATGATCTTTCTCTCTTTTTCCCTTTTGGTTTTCCAGGAAAAGTGATACTGCTTTCTCCTTTTCTCATTATGGTAAATGTTGACAATATCCGGACCCAAACATTCCAATGGCTATAATTATGAGACCTTTCTGCAGTGAATTCTACAATTAGAATTTCTTGCTCAAAGCCTTCCATTCAGAGGCAACCAGATGAATCACACTATATGACAGAGGATTAAATACTGAGCATTCAAGGTTGCTCTCAACAATAGGAACCTATAATTTCAGAATTTCTATTTTTTTATGTTCATTCATAAAATGGCAGTTTGAAATGATGGTGTCCAAGCAGGATGTGATACTTACACTTGCAATCCTAACCCTTGGGAAGATGAGGCAACACTCAGCCCTGGTGAGACCGAGCTTGGGCTACAGGGAAAGTTGATCACAAGCAACAAAACCTTTACCCTAATGTTAATGTTATGTTCGATAATGTAAACCCCAATTCAATTTAAAGCTCTAAGTATGTAAATGATTTGCTCAATAAAATGCTAAATGCTTTAAAATAAAGTGTTATGAAATGTGTTAGAGTGTTTTTTTTTCATTTGCCTGCATAACGGATTAAGACATATTTTAGTACCTGTGATCTAAATGTCATATTACTCGAGGAATTTTTAAATAAATGATATTTATTCATTTAGATTTGAAAATATCTTAGATTTTATTTTAAAATATTTTCGATTTTCTTCGTTCTCAAGTTTCAGAATTTTCAGAGGAGGGTTTTGAGGAGTTGAAAGGCTAAGAGGTGTCTCGGGATAGCCTCTCATGATCCGTGGAGAACCATGATGGCGCCAAACATGACTTCATCTCAGTCAAGAGAGAAAAGAGTCAAATAGCATGAAGTCACCAACAAAAAGCTTCAATTAGAGAGGGTTAGAGGTTTAGGTTGAGGAAAATGGTGCACTATACCAATTTGAAGAGATTCAGGCTACCAACTAAAAGTAACAGAAATAGAGCCTTTATTTGCTCATTTATGTTGGCTGGGATCTGAGAATTTTTCACTCATCCTCTGCATAAAATTTTTTTAAATGTTAATAAAGACCAGTTTCTCATGTTTTAAAGTAGTTCTTCCTTGAATAAGATAAGTATCTAGGACCTGTTTGTCCTAGAGACATGCTGATGCTCCCATGATCTGGTTGGGTTCTTCTCGGGGTCAGAGTTGAGACCAAAGAGAAGCACATTCCATAGACTGCAAACAGAGTTGGTTAGAGAGCTGAATAGTTAGTAACTCTATGTTAATAACTCCTAGTTATCACTCTTCTCTAAGTGCCTGAAAATTCTATCTGTTCCTGTGAGGAGTTTCTGTTGAAACCATAGATTTAGCCTCTAAGTCATGGGGGATATAGCTATCCACAAATGTATGCAGGTACCATAAATCAAAATGAAAATATAGACGGTAGAATAGGGGTCCAAACAAGAGTGTTCGGTTCTGGTGAGGATTGAAAAGGGCTGCTGTGATATTGTACCATAGGGAGATTATAGAAACAACAGCTGGATACTGTGTATTTCAAAAACCTAGACACACGCTGACAGTTTCGCCAAAAAGTCATTGTAAATATGGTAACGTATGTTGACCTGATTTTAAAATTACTCATTATATAGATGTATCATGCAAACATCACATCATAGTCCATTATTTTGTACCATTTAATATTTGTGTTATTTGTATTTTTGTTTAAGGGTAAATTACAATAAATAAAGCAAGTATAAGAGAAATGGTCTAATGAAGCAATGGGAACTTAAGGGAGGGGAGAAAAAAAGAGAGGGTAAGAGGTAGAGATTTTTATTGAGATAGCCTTAGCAACACAGTACCAAGTCCAGTGAGTATGCAAGATGAAAAATTTAAATTAATTAAGTAATACACACGTGTGCGCTCATGGGACTCACATTGGTTCTTTTTTCTTCTTCTTCTTCTTCTTCTTCGTGACTTCTACCAATAAACCTATTTAAAGGCTGGGCTGGGCATGGCGGTGTAAGCCAATAACGCCAGGAGTCATGAGACAAGGCCTGTAGATCCAGCAGAGCCCACGCGACATAGTAAGATCCTCGAGGGTGGTAAAGCTTGCTTATGACGTAGAGGCCATTTTGTCAGAGGCAGGATGAGAACTCAGGGACGTTAACTGCCAAAGCTTCCCCAGATGTCAGGCTGGGAGAAAGCTGAGTGAAGAACTCCAGAGAATCGCAACTCCATGTCCCGCTGTGCCTCCCACCTAACTGTAGGACTCATCAGATCGTCAACTTCTGTAACTTAGGACACTGTCCGTTGTGGCCTCAGTTTCCCCTTTGTTGTCCTTTTCTCCTCTCTCTGCTATAGCATCCCACCTTCTTCCTCTAGCCAGGATTCCTTAGCGCTGGCTGCCTTTAAGACTTTCCTGGGACCTTTCCAACCATACCACAGCCCAGGCTTCTTATACAAAAGCAGATTTGCTGTTTTGACCGTGGCAATGGACATTGATAAAACATCTCTAGCAGATGTCCATTCCTGGCTGTAAATTCGTGCTACAGGTTTGCAAACGTCCCACTGGGACACTGGTATGCATCTCAAAACAAACGCCAAACACCTGATAGAAATCAAAATTCCTGTTGAGGCTGCCAGGTATAGGTGTATTAGCTTTATTTTAGTATTCGATCTAATTTTTCTGACAAAACCATGAAGTGGAATTGTCCAGTCGCAAGTCTTTAAATTCAGTTTTAGTTCCCCCTTTATCCTCTTGCTCTTTCTTACCCAACAGTTTGAAATGCATTTCCCACCCCGCCCCCTTCCAGTATGAATTGCCATCTCTTCCCCACATCTCTGGGTAAGTTAGGTCAAGTTGTTCCTAACTTTCTGCTGAGAGAACTATTAAGAACAAGTGAGGTGTATCTTGAGAGCTATTTTACAGCCTCCAGGGGGAACACAGGCTTCTGCCATGATGACTGTGCTGGCTTTTGATCTTGCTCCTGAACAAGATTCTTAATGAAAAAGCAGTATGAACCGCAGCTGGAGGGAAGTGGCTGAACCGAGAAGGCAAACAAAGTATTAAAGCCCCAGTCTGCTGCTGTCTCTCCACTATCTCTGCTTTTCCAGATAGGGAATACGGAGACGTCTGGGGACTGTCCAGGAGCCTTGACTTCCCACAGCAGCTTCTCAAGGTCCTTCTTTCTTAAAGAATCAGTTCTGAAAATCTGAGGTTGGGATACGGGTATTCCTTGAAGTGCAGCGAGTCTCCTGCTTTGCTGAGCCAGTAGCTGGGAGAATGGGTACAATGAGGGAATTTCAATTTCCCAGGAGGACTCTGCACTTCTGTTGTGTGTGTCTTATTAATTTTGAGGATTAGTCAAAGGATCCAGGAAGACTAGTAGTAGCCATAACTAGGAATCTGGGAAAGGGGTGTGGTGTAGTTCCCTGGTTTGTAAGAAACTTTCTTTGCTTTGAAAATGTGTTATAATTAAACGATTGTTCCTCAGACTTGACAAATGTCTTCCTCATTATGGACCCAAATCATTTTCATCCTGGCCTTGGTGATTCCTTTTTATCATGGTAAGTAAAGTTTCGACTACTCCCTCCCAGGCATATAATGCTGGGAGCATCCATTGCAATTCTGGAACAGGTGACTTTTTAACCCGGGATTAGAAACAAACCGGTGAAAAGCATGAAGTTAACTTTTACCCATGCCCTGTCTTAGAAAACTGGAACATAGAAACTGAATTAGAGTAAGGAGCAGGAGCTGAACACAGCACTGTGCTCCCAGAAAGTCAGTTACTTAAGGGCACCAGGAAAGAACACTGCGTGTGTCTTGGAGGCCAAGGCCAACTTGGACAAGGCAGCTAGAACCTATCTCTTTTAAAAGTAAACCTCAAAATCTATACTTTGGATTTTTACGTTGTTGCCATTGGTCTTTGGCTAGAGATATTTACCCTCGCCCCATTTGTAGGACACATTCCAGTCTTGTTCAATGTAATGTATGAGCTATCTGGTGTCTTCCAGATCTGGGGATCCTTTATATTATAATTTGTTGGTTGTCCACTGAGTCCTGTAAGTCAAGGTCTTACTTACCTTGACATACTGTTAGTAAGTGAGAGTTTTCTCTCTCTACTAGAAAATTCTGTAAATATAAATAAATATAAATACTCTGATTCTTCCACTAACAAATCATAGATTTCAGAACAAATAAAGGAATTGTGAAAGATTAGATCCAAGATACTAAATCGTAATAATTATTAATTAAGTTTACTATCTATCTTTTATGCAAAGCAAATTAAGTAGATTTTTTACAAGGCATTTTTCTCTGATTAGGCTATTTCACATATAAAGAAAAACTATGGTATCTTTAACAGAAAAGTTTTAGGAATGAATAAACAATAAGAAATGTTTTCAGATTTGAAATCATTCCACAAACACATTATTTTGCTATGACCACATATTGTCACCTTACTTTGAAGGTCATGAATAAGCGATTTGCACAGGTTATTTCTGCTAAGTACTGAGGGAACTTCATGCCATTCTTCCTTCTTCTTATGCTTAACTTTTCTTTTCTGCTGGTTTCAGAAAACACTTTTGCATTTCCAACAGAAGTCGGTCAGAAGGTGAGTGAACACTGTTTAATTTGGCCCCTGGAGTTGAGGACGCCATGAGAACTTGACCCATTGAGTCAACTAAGAGGGCTCACGGGAGTTCACAGAGACTGAAGTGACAGTCTACCGACCTTGCATGAGCCTGTTCTAGGTCCTCTGCATATATGTGATGGCTGTTAGCTTGGCATGTTGTGGGAATCCTAACAGTGGAAATGGGGGTGTCTCTGACTCTTTGGCTTGCTCTTAGAACCCTTTTCTTCCTTCTGAGTTCTCTTGTTTAACCTTGATATAATTATTTGGGCCTAATCTTATTGTAACTTGATCATGCTGTGTTCAGTTGAGGCCCTTGAAGGCCTGCTCTTTTCCGAAGGGAAATAGAGGAGGAGTGGATTTGGAGAAGGGGGGACTGGGAGAAGTGGAGGGAGGAGAAACTGCGAATTACATTTTTAAATAAAGTAAATAAATTAATTAAATGGCATTTTTAGCTGTTTTATATGTAATTTTTAATGTCCAATACCAACAAACAAAATCTATAATAGAATAGACCTGGGAAAAAATTAAAACCAAACAAAAATGCGTAAGTCATTATCATTATATGAAGGTAAAGAATGAGTCTTGCCAGAGGCTGGAGAGATGACTCAGAGGTTGCGTTTGTTCTGTTGCGGAGGAACCACATTTTGTGCCCAGCACCTACATAACAGCTCAAAACTGTCTGTAACTATGGTTCCTTGGCATCAACTGTCTATTCTAACCTCTGTGGGCTCTAGCACATGTATGGTGCCTACGTATACACTCAGGTACACACACAAACACACACACACACATGTGCATGCACATAGATAGTAATAGTCTTGGCAATACTGTACAATTGTTTTAGCATTAGAGACAAGATAAAATTTGACACTATTAAAAAATTCCAATAAGGAACCAAATCCTTATTGTATACAACAAGTATTTAATATATTTTAAAAGTTATTTAATGTATATTTGTTTATTATATCAAGAAAAGAAGTTTGAAAGTAATTAAATAATCTATTTAAAGGTGGATTAATCATAACTTTTCAAATATTAACACACTATAATGTTACACAGATGTGAAGAAGTACTGTAGTTCTAAACAACTGAATAGATAAAAATTACAAAGAAATTGAAGGGTAAATTCAGCAAAAAAAAAAAACCCCAAAACACATTGTTGCCTATTTCTGTAAATCACCAAAACTCTCCTTACCTATGTCTGTGTAAGATCTTACACAAAGGCTCACTTAAATGTGTATATATGTCTGTCATGGATGGTTCAGGAGGACAAGAGACTAAAAGGTAAATAATCAAGTTTTATTATCTCTCATGACATAAAATAATGAGAGACTGACCTGAATGTGAAGAGACATAGAGACAGGATAACTCTATCATAAAATTCATATATCCAATGCACAGATTTTGAAAAATCAAATTTATAAAACTATATCAATAGTATAATGTATGTGGGCTAGCAAGATTGCTCAGTAAATAAAGGTGCCTGTCGTCAAGGCGGATGAGTTCTATCTCCAGGACCCAAATGGTAGAAAGAGAGACTGACTCAAGCAAGTTGTCCTTTGACCTCTACATGAATGTTGTGGCATGCACATAGATATACATGCATGGACACAAATACACACACACACACACACACACACACCTGCACACACATACACAAAATAAATAAATGTAATTATGATATGTATAACATATTTGGGTTTGGGTACCTCAATGCTTATTTTTTTAAACCTTAATATTTAACTATTATGTTGTGTGGCTTTTCACCCACAAAGATCACTATACGATAAACCTTGTATTGTCTTCTTATCTCTGACAGCCTAACTGTGACGTGTATAAAAGCTCCCCATTTATGTGTACCAGGGAAAGGGATCCCATCTGCGCAACTAATGGACATACTTACAGCAATGAATGTATTTTCTGCAGTACCATGATGTAAGAACACGTGACCCTAAGTAACGAAGAAACTCTAAGGGCGTGATAGGAAGCCCTGTTTCTGCAAACCCAGATATAACATGCACACAGTAAATTGTGGCTACTAAAGCCAGAAGGACCTACTCTCGCCTTTCTTTTAATTTCTCATTTGCAAAACTTGCTTTTTTTTTTATTTGACCCTTCAGTATAACTCTAATGAGTACTCTGTAAATGTCCCCACTGGTGAAGTTAAATGAATTATTAATGAACTGCTAGCAGTGTACTGGTAAACAAGAGAACATAATTTCAAATGCAGATACTGAATAATAATGACCCTGCTGTGTGAACAGAAGACTCAAGTATAGAACTCTGAAATCCAGCACAGTTGAACCCAATACTAAGGAGGGAGGGAGGTCTCTGATGAGCCAGTCTGTCTACTGAACTTACTGACCGCTTTCTAACATTCTTAAGGGACTGGAAAGTCTGAGAGCGTCTCCACTCTCCCTCCTCCCTGCCCTATCATTTTGAATCACATTCTTTTATTGTATGAGGAGTGTGTGAAAATTGCTTAATGGATGCTAATTGATTCATACATTCTTTTAAACTTTAATTCAGCTGTCTTCCTACCTTACTCTTTCAAGTTTTTCCTTCCATCCAAATTTCTGTATATTTAATCCCCCAAATTGTATTCTGCTTCTACAGGACAACTAAGACAATTCTAGTCCTCTTCTCTTTTGGGTCTGAGATGGTCCCAAGGCAGAGTCGGGTCTGGGTTTTTAGGAAAAGTCAAGTATCCCGTCATGAGAGATAGGATACACACCAGGGGAGAGAATTGGTGGGACGTAGCTGCTCATGGGTGAAGAGAGAATCTCTGCATCAGTGCGTGTCAGGTCTTCCTCAGTAAAAATCAATCAATGCAGGACGGTTTACAAGCACTAATTGAAAATGGGAGCTCAATTATGTGTTTTCCTTCTCATTTCTTTACTTACAGAACCTCTACAGAAAAATTTGATTATCTGCATCATGGTCTTTGCTGAATTTGTATGGGTTACACATACATCGTCCTTTCTCATAGTGTATTCTGCAATCAAGTAAAATTTTCTCAATGAGTGCTTCAGATTCCTAAACAACAAATGAAGTCTTCTCTGGTTCATAAAGTGGAGTATAGAATATTGAAGAATTTCTCCAACCTGTGATTGAAGGATTTTATTTCAGTTATTTAATCATAGTGTTGAAAATTGTTCTCATATTCAGTGTGATTGTTGTTAGTATTCAGGCATCTGTACTGCCCTGCCCTTGGGGTTCTGACAGGATAGTCCTCAGCTGTAGCCACTGAGAGCGCCTCCTATGCACATTCACTATGTTCCCTCTTAAAAGGGCCCTGCCCACCTCCCATCTCTCTCTCTCTCTCTCTCTCTCTCTCTCTCTCTCGCTCGCTCGCTCGCTCTCTCTCTGCCTCTGTCTTCTCTTCTTCTGCTTCTGTCCCCAGAGGCCAGTATCCCCTTTCTCCTTCTCCTTCCCTCTCTTTATGTGTCCTTTCCCCTAATAAAAAACTCGCTCCATGTGAACTCCGCTGTGTGGCATCTTGCTCTCACACACTGCTTTTCCTAAATCGCAAAAATTGTAATCATAAATGTTTCATTCAATAAAATGTTAAATAAATTTCATCTTTATTAAGAGTTTTTTAGCTTGGAGGCAGATGGCTAAGGTAAAGGAATACTTTTAGTGATTATAATTTGTTGATACAAAAAAATATAGCTCTTGCCTTGAAGGAAATAAGAGATAATTTTTGGAGGCATTTTGGGTAACTGTGAACGCAGATTTAGGTTACCCCAAATTCCACATTCCAATGTGGAAGCAGTTTCATAAAATCCATAGTCTTACAGAACCAAGAAAGTCACAAATCAAGACAAATTTAAAATACTTTAGTGGGTACATTAGACAGGTGGCTGCAGCAAGATGGAAGAAGCTTTTTCCTAGGCTTCTGTGGTGGTCTGAGTGGGAATGGCCTCTTAGGCTCATATGTCTGACTATTTGGTCTACAGTTGGTGGAACATTTGAGGAAGGATTGTGAGGTGTGGCCTTGTCGGAGGAGGTCCATCACTTAGGGTGGGCATTGTGATTTCCAAAGCTCATACCATTCCCCTTAGATCCCCCATCCCCCCCACACTACTTCTCCCTCTCTTCATACCTGTGTCGCAGATGTAGCTTTCAGATATTGTTCACCATCATGCCTGCCTGGCACCATGTTCCCCACCATAGCGGTCATGAACTCTTACCCTGAAACTATAAGCAAGGTCCCAAATTACATTTTTCCTTTTACAAGTTGCCTTGGCCTTGGTGTTTTGTTATAGCGACACAAGAGCAACCAAGACAGTCTCAGATTCTATCTGATGACATTCTTAGCTTTGGGGCTGGTCGAAGCTAGAAGTTGGTTAAGTTAACAGATTTCGAGGGGTTTTATCTATCAGTCACAGGATGCTAATTCTGGCACAGAGGAGGGCAAGGAATGGGTCTCCAGGAGACTAAAACTAGCCTGATATAAAGCAATTAGCCTCTGGACAGATGACATCCTAACCTCCGTACATCACTGTTTTTAATCAGTTAACCAGTGTTGTAGACACAGCTTCTTTCCAGGCAGTATAATCCACAAATTCAGGAAGTATTTTCAAATGTAAATAAAAAAGCAATGTGCAAGTATTCATCAAAAGCACAGATCTACCCTTGAGTAAATTGGGAGCATGGGGATTATGGGAGAGGGTAGAAGAGGAGGGGAGAAGAAGGGAGAGGAGCAAAGAAAAATATATAGCTCAATAAAGTCATTTTAAAAAGTTTTTAAAAAGCACAGATCTAGAATTATCTTTAAGCTTAATGTGAGCTCTAGTGAGAAATGGAACCTTGAATTCTAATAAGCACCTCCTGGTTAGTTACAGTGAGAGCCTGGGAGGCAGTCAGACAGGGAGAAGTTGCCCTACGTGGTTTCCTGTGCTATTCCCTTAAACATTCATTATGACCATCTTCCCAATTCTCCCTTCCTAAGATGAAGACTTGGTGATATTTATCCTATTTGGTAGGCCTTTCTTAGGGTCACTGTTGTGGTGAGAACAAATCAGCTTTCCTTTCTTTGTCTGGATTATCCAACCCCCATGGCAGCCCACATCAGCTAATTATGATGAGTTAGGGAATTCATTGCATCATCAAACACAAAATTTTGGCTTTTTTGGACACCACATGAGGTCCCCTCTCCACCTTGTGTCTGTGTTATTTACTGTGCAAACATGTTTCAGCTTTCATTAAAATCTGGCTAAGTGCTGAACCCTTTCTTTTCCCGCCTTTTTATTCCTTAAATAACTGGAGAATACTCTGTCCTGTAACTCTAGGTAACCTCACCACGATAGGGTCAGCTGGAAGCCTTGTATTCTGGATGAATGCAAGGTTCAGTTCTTGCCAAGACAAACAATGAAGGATTTGAAGAGTGCCCTTGTAATCATCTAGGGCTCATCCAATATGTTGGAATAAAGGGAAGGGAAATGGTCATAGCTGAACCCTTAGTTGATATTTTTGTTTCTTTTCCTTTCTTTGAAAGGCTAGCAAGAAAATGCTCCCCTGCCCCCGCCCCATTCTAACTCCAATGTCTGTGTAATGGAGATGAACAGAATTCTTTCAGATAGTTCTTGCTGAAATTACTTATTGTAAGAACTTACTGAAAGTTCTTACTGTCCACCTGGCAGCCAGTCCTGTAGGCTGAAATTGATGACTTCCTGGAACTAGTTTCTGAACTCTGGATTCAGGGAGACTACATACATTTACAGCAAAGGAGATTGAATTTTATTGTCTTATGCTAGTACACATAATCTTTTTGGATCATGAATGTTAATCTTCCTTCTCTGTTTTCACCTCAGTGGTTTGATTCAAAATAGAAGAGACTATTATCAAGGAGCTTACTTAGGGATGTGCAAAAGTTCTTTAAGAAAATTAAATATGGCTGGGCCGTGGTGGTGCACACCTTTAATCCCAGCACTCGGAGGGAGAGGCAGGCAGATTTCTGAGTTTGAGGCCAGACTGGTCTACAGAGAAAGTTCCAGGACAACTAGGACTGTTTTACACACACACACACACACACACACACACACACACACACACACACACAAAGTCTCAAAACCCCTTTCTTCCACAAAAGAAAGAAAATTAACAATTTAACAATTTAATTTTCTTGATGCAGTTTGAATTCCTACCAAGACTTGTGACAGAGACAAACCTAAGACTTAGCTCGTGTGTGTGTGTGTGTGTGTGTGTAAAATCACACTGTGAAACCTGCCCCAGGTGCTGGAAGGAGAGACGCCTCAGATCAAGGGCCAAGAGTTGGAGGGCTGGGAAGGCATATTGCCTACACCATAAAGGGGGAAAATGGACAAAAACAAAAACCTTTTCTTAGGAAATGAATGGGGGAGCATATTGCCTAAGATGGCACTGGGTCAACACTCTTTAAGGACTCCTGAGAAGTGACTCTCAGCCCAGAAAAGACAAACTTTTGGTTTCTTTTAAACTTCCTCTATTTCCCATCCTTTCTCTGTTTTTTCTTTTTTTTAAATATTTATCTTATTTATTATGTAAACAATATTCTGTCTGTGTGTATGCCTGCTGGCCAGAAGAGGGCACCAGACTTCATTACAGATGCTTGTAAGCCACCATGTGGTTGCCGAGAATTGAACTCAGGACCTTTGGAAGAGCAGGCAATGCTCTTAACCTCTGAGCCATCTCTCCAGCCCCTTTCTCTGTCTTTTCTGCAATACTAAAAGAGAACACACCGAAGCTCAGGGAGATCCCAAGGGTTCAGACTCCCTGTCCCATTTCACCTGGGGCATCACATACAGGCCAAGATCCAGGTGCCGCCTTCTTCTTCTTCTTCTTCTTCTTCTTCTTCTTCTTCTTCTTCTTCTTCTTCTTCTTCTTCT